CAGGTTTCTAATAATGAAAACTTTCCATGACAAATTCCTGGCACCACTTACTGCCACAGAGCATTGCACATATCAGCAAGTGCATCCCTGAGTCAGGCATTCACTGCCACATGGCTAGAAATCCTCTGTCTTCAGCAGGAAAGAGCAGATAGCCCTGGAACTTATATAGCACTCTGTTGCGACTGCATGCCTAATCTGAGCCAGCTGCACAGATGGTTAAATCTCTAGAAGCTGTCCTCAGGAGCAAGGACACAGCCCTGAACTCTTATTCTCTTCATATCCCTAGCTCTTATCAGAAAGTAAATAGATTCAAGTGTTCTCTCGCCTCCTTTACTGTATTACAAAATGCTTTGTTTTCATTGGAAAATTCCTGGTACTGCCAGAAAGGTACTTTCACCCCTTCAGCTATACAAATCATGACTCAAAACATGAGGGGTTATGGAAATGGTCAAATAGGAACCTAATTGATAATATAAAGTGATGCAAGGAGCTCTGAGCATTACAACTTGCCCTGTGTTGTGGTTTAACCCAGCGGGCAGCTAAGCACCACACAGCCAGTCACTCACCTCACCCCAGCATGACGGAGAAGAGAATCAAAAAGATAAAAGCATGAGAACTCCTGAGCTGAGATAAAGATGGTTTAATATGAAAAAACACACACACACAGATTAAAGTGATGCACAATGTAATTGGTTGGGCATCATTTGGATGTTGGCAATCAGTCCCTGAGCAACAGCAGCCCCCCTGCCAGCTCCCCCCAGTTCTACTGTTCCACCTGACACTACACAGCATGGGACATTCCTTCTGCTGGTTTCAGCCAGCTGTCCTGGCTGTGTCCCCTCCCGCCTCCTTGCTGGCAGGGCGGTGTGTGAACCCAAAGAGTCTTGGGCTTTGTATAAGCACTGTTCATTAACACTAAAACATCGGTGTGTTATTGATATTTTCCTTCCTAAACACAAAACACAGCACCATACCAGCCCCTATGAAGAAAAACTATCCCAGCTGAAACCAGGACACCCTACAATGTCACAGACAGAGGCAGGTCCTTGTAAAATTGTGTTGTGATAATCTGTGACATGCTCACAGATTCTGCACAATCCTGCTTACTTCCAGTTTAGTAACCAGTTTCACACTGCTATACTGCTTCTGAAGAGAAGACTATATCACAGATTCTGGTGAGCAAATGGTGCAGCAACCATTTACTTTAACCTAATTTCTTAAAGATTCCATGATTAATTCTGATTTAACCTTATGGCAAGGTATAAGGTTGCAAAAACATCCAGGAGCTCACTGGGATTGCAAATGATTCCCTTCTCCCAGGATTAAAAGTTGGATAACCGCTGCAAAGACTCACTTAAGCATTAGCTGATACACTAAACTTCCTTTGAGACTCAGTAGTTGTGTTAAGTGAGCAGACAAAATATCCAGCTTTAAGACAGGGCCATTATGTATAAAATGTAATTACATTGCTAGCACTGTTTGAACAAGTGCATTGACTATCTCTGCAGGTGTAGATGGTGCTGGCTTCTACCCCAATATATGAAAAATGAACACAGTAAAATAACAGCTGTTGCTTAGAGATATTAACATTTGAGAAAAATTAAGGGATCAAACCCAGCAGAATTCACCCCCAAGTCCTCTGGACCTCAAAGCAATGACCCATAATTGAAAGTGATCAAATATGCATGATTTGTCTTAGTTTCTGCTCTGCTAATATAATGGAACTTTACACTAAAGACAAAATGAATACCAAGAATGACATTTTCTGATTGTATTGGTTCTCTGGTGATTTTTTCTTTGGGGGAAGTTGTAATTAAAGAAAATTAGAGAAAAGTTAAAGACAACTTTGTTACGCAATAAGAAAACAAAGGCAGGATTCTTTTATTTCAAAGTGAATTCTTCCACACTTGTATTGAAAAGGCATGTTTCAAACTAAAGCTGATTAAAACCATTCTTGCCTAAGCTTTCCATGAAAAGTTGCCACTCTAATTGGCCTGACTGGACTCTGTCCTGCCTGATACATGATGCCTTGAGAGCAGAGAATAGGAACAGAAGGCATCCAATTACATTCCACAGAAAATATGGCAACATTTCCTGAGCAAAAGAGCATGTATCCTTTCTAGAGTAAATATTTTGGTTAACGATGAAAAAGTTGATGAAAACAGACACATCTAAAGTTTGTTTCTAAGAAGACCTCACAATTCTTATTAATAACTTCCTATTTGAACAATACTCTATAAAGTTTAGATGTATACAGCCACATGCTAAGTGGCCAAATACCTTTATTTTCTTGATCGTAAATATTTAACCACTATGAAACTTTCCTCACTTCAATTTTCATGCAAATATTTACTTTGAGAAAAATCTGTGGGCGGAATCCTAGCTGACAATGCAGTAAGATTCCACAGCTTTAAGACAGGATCACATTAGGACAGAGGTCTTCCCATAAACATCCAGTTAAGTCCTTGGTGACTCTTTCCTGTGTCAGTTTTGAGATACAACCCGTTAACTTTCAGAAGCTTTTTCTTCATTAATACTAAAAACCTCTAGCAAGTGAAGTGAGGTTTCCAGTTTAAACACAGTTGGTCTGAGGTCACAAATTGGCTCTACAACCTTTAAGAAATGTGTCAGAGCAGTTACAGGAACTCTATATATGCATTACTACAGTGGTTGCCTGAGTTACAGCAGCATTTTGACATGACAACTGGTGATACATGCATGTTGTTTCAGCACTAGATCAAGTGCAGTCATGCTAGCTAAATATAGGAGGGAGAACAAACACTTCTAAGTTCTGACCTGGTCATTTTCGTAATTGCTTTGCAGGTTACTCAGTGTCAGAGAACCAAGTACCACAATTAAAGAAATGCACAATTTTTACAGACCTAAATAGGACAGCGTGACGACCATCAGCACAAGTTAACTTCTATAAAGTTCTTAACTACATTATAAAGAAACAAAACCAGGAGGAATTTTTTATTAAAACACAGAAAGGAAGAAAACTCAGTAGTGGAAAATTTCAACTGCTTTTTCAATAGCATTTGTCACAGATATTTGTATATGCATTAATACATTTTAATAAGGATTTATTAATATTCTAGAATAATTGGACACATCAAGACAAGTATTTAATTGATTTGTAAATCTACGCATCTATCTGAAGATCTCAGAATACATCTGGTGTTGTTCCAAAACTAATTGCAGTCTACAAACTATAAGACTATTTATTTTTACAGAAAATTAGTCATTTTGCACACACTATTGAGAGGCATGTGAGACAGCTTGGCATAATGAAAGCCAGAGGTCTGACAGTTTTATACTCGTAGCTATGAGCATATACATTATGTTCCAGATATATCTGAAATTGTTAATATTCTGTAGCTATTCATATTAACGTGCAGGTGAGCTAAATCATGTCTTTTTTCTATGATTTTAATCTTTTGTCCTTGAGCTAGAAAAAGCTCTCCTTTCTCTAGAATATAGGCATATTTTGCTTGCATTTAAAGAATTTTTCTAATGACAGTTTTCCCAAGTAATTTTTTCTTGCTCAAAGTGAAAGTCATGCAACCATAGTTATCAATCGCAATAAAAAGTCAGATAATAAGCTATAAGCTATTAATATAACAAATAAGCTATATTTTTAGATCCAGCAGAAAAGATAAATCCTTTCTAACACAGTTTTTGTTTTCTGCCTGTAATAATTTCCTGTATTTACTTATGAATAGGGACAAAAATAATGTGTAGAATAGTTAGGTTGATGCCTATGAAATTAAGACAGAGAATAAATTTCCAGTAACACACTGTAAAAAACTCACCAAACCGCCCATCATAAAACCCTAAATACATCTCTACCTTCTGTCCAGTTATAAAAAGTGGCTAGGAATTTTAGCTCAATTTTATTGTCTGGGAGCCAAAGGACTTTCACCCTTTGCATTGGTATTCTAGATTTCAGCTGCTGAACTTTTAAAAGAAGCATGCCTTTGCCTTGATGAAACCCAGAGGGCAATAAAAGCATCAGATCTTTGTCAAAAGAGAAAGGTAAATCAAAAAACAGTAGATCAAATTCCAATGTTGTTTATCGTGTGTACAATCCATTGCCCAGGTAAAAGAAACAGGACAGGAGCAGATATCTGCCAAACCTCCTCATAGCACTTTCCATGCCTACCCCGAGATTTAGATGCATGTCACAGTGCTGGCAGACTCTGCCTGGCTATCAGTAAGTTATGTACACTGCAGATAACCTATTTCATGAAAATATTATAGATAAGAGCTTCTATGTATTATTTCCTTTCATAGATGCAATCACAAAGTAATTAGTAGCAACAGTTCTCAGATTAACAATATTTAGATAATGTTAAAATAAAACAGACATGCCTAATACTCTCAGGAATTTATTTATTCACATAACATTGTTGCTAAATAAGTTAATTTACAGCACTTATATACTCCTAGGAGACAGTTCTGGAAACAACTAGAAGCAACAGCTGTAACTTTGTTACACATCTCAAAGTCACCACCATCAGCTGCGTTCTAACAACTCAGACTAACACAGCTTTTAATCAATTAATTACTTATTTTGTCATGACTACAGGTACAGCTGCGAGGCAACAAAGCCTCAGGTTCCCCACCAGAGGTGCTCCCACCACATGGACCCAACTGTCTGTGGTGCAGGGCAGGCCTTGCACTTCCTGTCTCACTACAGCTAGAGGGAGAAGCTCCTGGGCTCCCACTGCACAGTAAAGAAAAAACTGTAGAGCATTACCTTAAAAACAGGAGAAAGAAGGGCTTCTCCATCTCCTTATCCTGCTACTGAAGCACTAAGACACTCTGAGAGTGACCTTCACCCTTCTAAGAGCTGATCACTGTTCTCTCCCCACCCTTATGAGGGCCAGGCTTGCCCTCCACCACAGGTGGCACTGGGCCTTCTGAACACGGGTGCAGGGGATAAAGAGCCTGTTTTTCCTCCTCATAGGAAATAACTTGACTCTTCAGCTAGCAGGCTACTAAAGAGAGAACTGTGTAGTGGCAAAGGAGCTGCTGGGCTATGAAGGTCTACAAGCTGAATCTGCAGGAGGATAGCAGTACGGCAGGAGCCTGGGGTGTGCAGGTAAGTCCTGTGGCTGTCTTAGGAGTGGGTTGGTCATCTCCATGTCTCCCTAGAGCACATAAAGGGAAAAAAACTAACAGTTTACTGCTCTGTTTGGCTTGGTGAGTTGGGTTAGGAGGTGAATAGTAAAGCAGGATGACTTGGAATGTATCTATAACTTAATTAAGGACAGAAGCGTAGGGGGATTATGAGGTTTAATCTTGTTTTGCTCTGAGGACTCCCTAAAGTATCAAATGAGAAGGTTAAGGACATACATTTGAGAAATGGGCTCTCTAATATGCTTGCTATTAGCACTGGATAAGTTGCTTTCTCTCATTTTCTTATTTAGTGTGCAACTTGAAGTGGGGTCAAATTAAAGTGATTAACTAATGCTTTGTAGACTTTTATTAGGAACACCTGTTCTACACAACTTTCTGGTATAGGCATGTGCTTTTGAGACAAGCCAGTTTAATATTGTAATTCATTATACATTGTAGGCTATGTTGTCTATAATATCTACCAATAACTTTAAAAAATATGTGTGTATATATATATTTGAACTTATTTAAAGTTTATTATTTGATGGTGCTCAATTTCCTTTGTTTGCTTTTGAAGACTACTTGAGTGACTACTTGAAGTACTTAAGTTTATTAGCGTAGATCTTTTAGAAAGTGTCTTAGACAGACAAGAGTTTCCCAAAGCAAAACTTAAACAAACATTCATTCTGTAAGCATTTTTCCATATATCTAATTGGTTTGTAGACAACATACACTTTGAGACTAGTAACAATGAGGTAAGAAACCTATATTTTCTAAAGGTTATAGGCAACTATGGCACTGTAGAGCTGTTTGTATGGTAAATGCAAATATCACTTATAGAAATAAATCTGCTTGTGCGTTTGTAACAAGTGAGGGAAAAAGCCCTACATTTCAAATAAATTATTCGTGGTGGGTGATTCAATCTAACTGATGTTAATTTGACCTTGACTTGATTTTATTGTGATGTAGAGAAATTATTCCTGTGCTCCCTACAAACGTGTTAGGGCTTGGAAATGTCACTACTCCAGCTTCCTCTCTGAACTCTTCTCTGTCATTGCTATTTAAAGAGAGACTGTAACAGGTATTCAGGAGAACATTTACATTTATTTTGCATAAAAACAAAATACCTTAATTCCCCCATTAGTATGGGAACCATGTTTCTTGTACTGGTTGTGATTTTTCTATTTTTGAAGCTAGTGGAAATTGTAATTTAGGAAGTAGTCTCATACGCTACGTTGAATGTAGTTAAACTGTATCATTACCCTCATTCATTAAAGTGTCTATATTTTATCTTGTCTTTGACCCTCCATCCGCATCTTATTTCTGAGATAAGCACTGTATGCTTTGCATAACACATCACATAAGCAAGAGGTCTTTCATTTTAAACAGCTTAATGCAGCTGTTGGTTTTACCGTACAAACCAGAGCAAATGTGCAAAAATGGTTATATTGATCTTTTATTTTCTAATTTCATTTTTTCTTTATCAGGGCAACATTGTCTGCATTAAATGTTATTAGTGTGATACCTGTGGTTTTTTTTTTTTTTAGAAGGGATTTCAGCAGTCAGACATCTTGTTTATGATGCACTGTTTAAAAGAGTCTTGTTTATAGTTGCTTGTATCGATAAGGCGTCTTATACATGTTGATTTTCAGAACATACAATTTATGTTATGTCTGAACTACATCTTGAACTAATACTTGACCTGTATTTGTGCTGTATGGATAACTCCTGATGAAATTTTAATTCATTTTCTCCATGTTTTTGACATTGTGCCCCATTGTTACCGGTATGGATGATTGCAAAATATTCTGTTTTGGAATTCTGGAGTTCTGCCTTACAATTCTGTTATCTGATTGAGCTATTTATTTTTCAAAAATCTGATGGGTTTTCAAATACTAAATGCTATGTGAGTGCCAGAATAAATATCATACCTTCTTAAATGATTTCTGTAAAATGTGTAAATGTTAGTATATGTTATGCTATGTTATTTATATTCAGACGAAAGTTCTCTGTAATGAACAAAGCAATGCTTCATCTTTTATAAGATTTTCATAGTTACTAAAAAAACTATCAGTTGCATCCCAATCACTTGTAACTCTAAGTACAGAATATGTAATTTAGGATAGTAGCTTTCGCTATTATACTTAAAATATTTATGTTGATTTCTTGGCATTATTATATATATGAAAAGGAAGCCATTATCTTTCTAATACTTTCCCTTAAGCTTTCCTCTATTAGTCTTCTGTTATATTGTAGAATTTCTTATTTTGATCCGATTGGTGAGATTCCAGGTGCCAGACTCTATGTGGAGGCATACAATCTTATTCTACTTGACAATCACAATAAAGTTGAATTTCTGGGCTGTGTCACTCACTAGAGAACACAAACAAGAAATTATAAGGCTAACATTGCTTACATGCTCTTCCTTGTACTTGGTTTTGTGCGTTCATACCTTCAATTATGAAACAACAACTGAGTCTCATATGCCAACTACCCTCTGTTTCTCTGATGTGTCTCCAGCAGCTCTAGTTCTAAGTATTAATGGTGCAACTAATTGAATGAATTGCTTTAAGTTCAGGTAGTAAAAAATTTTGTCACTGTCGTGCAGCTAAAACTCAAAAGTTTGGTCAGACTCTGCTCTTATCTTTTTCAATAACTAACACAGATGTTACTGAGGACAGAATTATCCTATCTGTGGGAGGCTTATTAATAGTAATGTTAGGAGTAATTTTGAAATTTCTTATCAAACAAACTGGGTGTAGTGTTCTGCTATTATTATTAGTTATTAACATAAAAATAAATTGTATTATAGTATTTGAGTTATAAGTCTTCATTTATTCCTACTTAGCTTATAGTTGGAATGAACTCAGTAAAATTTCCTGTATTAATTTATTGCTACTGCTTAAACACAAAGTGAGTTACAGCTGAACATTACCAGAAAATTACTGATCTAATCAGGCATACTGTGCAAGTTGCAGTCACTCGTGTTGAGGAGTAATGAATACAGAATGAAATTGGAAAACAGTTCAGGGGAATTTTGGGAGAAAGGAAACTTTGTCATATTAAAAGTTTTGTCATAGCAAAAAGGTGTCAGTGAATGAAACAGAATTTAGAGGGAAATATATTGGCCCAGAAGCAGTTGTGTATGAACTGGATAGAAATTAGATTTTTTTTTTTTGCATATCTGAACAATAAGACTTACTTTGGGGCAGCAGGGGTGAGGGAGAAACTACTTCTTAAGACAGGTCTCTTTTTCAAAGTGATGTTGTCCATGTCCAGCTATGATAGAGTAAGAGATTCTGTAATCCTAACAAAATGGCATCATTTGCAATCCTTGTAGTGTTTTGTAGTGAGAGTTAAAAAGATTGTCTTATAATTGAAGTGGGCCTGGATAAATTCTGGATACTTTGCTCTGAATTGCTGATTCCCTTTCTATTACGTAATATTACTTGACCTTCCTGTACTTTGCAAATACAGTTGTCGCGTTAAAGGGGTGTAGCTGATTAACCGTTACGGGCCCGGTTGGATTCAGAGTACTGAACCAGTCGGACATTCACCAAAACTGGGGGTCCGTTCGGACATTCACCAAAAACGTAATAACCACCTGGGGGTCCGCTCAGACATTCACCAAAAACGTATTAACCACCTGGGGGTCCGTTCAGACATTCACCAACAATGCATTAACTGTCTGGGGGTCTGGTTAGATTCAGAACACTGAACTATCACGGATAACCACCCTCACCCTAGTTGCATTAATGAGAGCTATCACAATGCAATCAAGTATGGTTTATTACAGCAACAGATAATCAGGTTCTTTTGGATTGCCGGTGATAGTGACTATCTGCAAAAGCAAGCTAGTATGCATGAAATACACAGGGGTTACAGGGGTTCTAGGTGTGGGTTCTAGGTGTGGGTTCTAGGTGTGGGTTCTAGGTGTGGGTTCTAGGTGTGGGTTCTAGGTGTGGGTTCTAGGTGTGGGTTCTAGGTGTGGGTTCTAGGTGTGGGTTCTAGGTGTGGGTTCTAGGTGTGGGTTCTAGGTGTGGGTTCTAGGTGTGGGTTCTAGGTGTGGGTTCTAGGTGTGGGTTCTAGGTGTGGGTTCTAGGTGTGGGTTCTAGGTGTGGGTTCTAGGTGTGGGTTCTAGGTGTGGGTTCTAGGTGTGGGTTCTAGGTGTGGGTTCTAGGTGTGGGTTCTAGGTGTGGGTTCTAGGTGTGGGTTCTAGGTGTGGGTTCTAGGTGTGGGTTCTAGGTGTGGGTTCTAGGTGTGGGTTCTAGGTGTGGGTTCTAGGTGTGGGTTCTAGGTGTGGGTTCTAGGTGTGGGTTCTAGGTGTGGGTTCTAGGTGTGGGTTCTAGGTGTGGGTTCTAGGTGTGGGTTCTAGGTGTGGGTTCTAGGTGTGGGTTCTAGGTGTGGGTTCTAGGTGTGGGTTCTAGGTGTGGGTTCTAGGTGTGGGTTCTAGGTGTGGGTTCTAGGTGTGGGTTCTAGGTGTGGGTTCTAGGTGTGGGTTCTAGGTGTGGGTTCTAGGTGTGGGTTCTAGGTGTGGGTTCTAGGTGTGGGTTCTAGGTGTGGGTTCTAGGTGTGGGTTCTAGGTGTGGGTTCTAGGTGTGGGTTCTAGGTGTGGGTTCTAGGTGTGGGTTCTAGGTGTGGGTTCTAGGTGTGGGTTCTAGGTGTGGGTTCTAGGTGTGGGTTCTAGGTGTGGGTTCTAGGTGTGGGTTCTAGGTGTGGGTTCTAGGTGTGGGTTCTAGGTGTGGGTTCTAGGTGTGGGTTCTAGGTGTGGGTTCTAGGTGTGGGTTCTAGGTGTGGGTTCTAGGTGTGGGTTCTAGGTGTGGGTTCTAGGTGTGGGTTCTAGGTGCGCAGCCTAGAAATAAACGCGTTTAAAGGATCAAAGACTCTATAGAGATTTATAAGCAAATATTCAGATCTCACCCAAAGGCGTCCCAATGGGGGGGGAAGAGAGGCTCAGCCCGTCGACTGATCCCAGGAGTCAGG